TAATAATATCCCATAATGGCCACTAGATGGCGCTATAAAAAAAGCATAGGAAATATGTATTTATTGGTCTATACTCACTAGCGCCATCTAGTGGCCATAATGTGGTATTACACTGGGGGAAAAAAGTTAGAAAATACATTCCCTTGTAAAGAATCAATTAAAGAACGTTTGTTTTGGCATACATCTGCAGAGAAAGAGAGTTCACAGATATTTGCGGGGTGACGGGTCCTGCAGATAGTTTATAAATAGACCCCTAAGTGATACGTTTATACAACGACCCATAAGTGCTCCTACCTCCCTTCTAAACTCTCATTTATTCTAATCTCCTAGTTAAATATCTCTGATGCTTACATGCCAGCAGCTCCAGGCTTTTTCTGGCTGCCAATCGCAGAACAGAGTTATGAATAGGGGTCACATGACTTCTGTCAACCTATCACTGGCTGTGTCTGAATACTCCCTGATGACAATGGCCATATGAGCCCAGTAAGAGCTCTCTTGTGGGCCTTCCAACCAGAGGGAGCCGTTAGCGGCTTGTATGGAAAAAGCCAGGAGGGGACTTCAGAGAATCATATCGGAGAAGTCCTGAGGGTGAGAGAAGTGACCTCAGCAGGGATGCATCGTACAGTTTCCTCCACATGTTTGCATTTCATTCGCGTTGTTCCCTACAGATAAAGGGCGGTAAAACGCTGTACACCTGCTCCCTGCGGCCCACGGGGATCTACGGTGAGGGCCACATGCTGATGAAGGACTTCTATGAGCAGGGGCTGCGGGCAGGACGCCGGGTGTTCAGAATCATCCCTTCCTCCACAGAACACGGGAGAGTCTACGCAGGTGAGAAACCATATCGTCCATAGAAAAGTAGGAAATCTTATTGGCAATTGTAGCCCCGGAGCATCGGGGGAGTCACAAGCTTCTGAAAAACTAGAAACAACACCAGTTCATCAAGCTGCAGCCTCTGCCGGGAAACATTAAGGTTTATGGAGACCTTTGGCAAGAAATGTTGGTGTGTGGCTTCTGTTCCTCACCGGGATTCCATAGCTGAGCGAGAATAACGCTCTCGAGTTCTTCCTGCTTCACGTCTGCAGAATGTAGAGAGGACGAGAGCGCCTCAAGATAAGGCTTTGCATCCAAATACAAGAGGCAGTTCCCTGCCAACTGGGAGATCTCTGGGGGTCAGCCTGGAGAACGTAGAAAGGACAAGAGGACCACAAGACTGGTATGAGTCCAATAGGTCTTTATTGTACAAGAGAAAAAGCCAACGTGCTTTGGGGGCTCAAGACTCCCCCTTCATCAGGGCTTTATTGTGCATAACTAGAGAAGAAGCCCTGATGAAGGAGTTTTGAGCCCCCTATACGGGTTGTTATCGGGACCTTCTGGACTCATACCAGTCTTGTGGTCCTCTCCTTCTTTCTATGCTCTCCAGACTACTCTGAGGAACTCTAGGTTCTCCTGCCTCTTGGATTTGGAAGCCCTATCCCTTTTCCATTCCTGGGACCAGCACTCTACCAACACGCTGACTGCTTCCCTTCTGCCCCAGCTTTGCTGCCCCTCAGCACGTTCATTGGCTTTTGTGGCTCTTTTATTGTAAAACGATTTGTTATTTTTTAACAGTGTTTGTATAACATGAGATCTGAGATTATAAACGCATGTGCTCACGTGTAATGTGGTCCGCCTCTTCCCCAGGTAACGTGGCCTGGATGCACGTCCTCGCTGCCCGCCAGCTGCAGGAGCGCCCCTCCGCCTTGGGCGGCCAGGTCTACTTCTGCTACGACGACTCCCCTTACAAGAGCTACATGGACTTCAACATGGAGTTCCTGTCTTCCTGCGACTTCCGGATGTTGGGTTCCCGCCCGCTGGTCCCTTACTTCCTGCTCTACATGATTGCCCTCCTTAACGTCCTCCTGCAGTGGCTCCTGCACCCGTTCTGCATCTACGCCCCCATCCTCAACACGTACACGCTGGGCGTGGCTAGCACCACCTTCACCGTGCAGACCGACAAGGCCCAGAGGCACTTTGGCTACCGCCCCCTCTTCACTTGGGAGGAGAGCAAGCAGCGCACCATCGCCTGGGTGAAGAGCCTGGAGCGGGACAGAAAGGAGGGATGAGGGCACATTGTGCGGCCTTCAGGACAACTGGAGGGAACATAGACGGTGGACTTCACGTCCAACGTGAACAGGATACGGAAACTTTGCGCATAAGGGACTTTCACACGAATACAATCCAGATTCACACGAATCCTCATGAGATTCCTTCCGTTGCATCTCACACAACAATATCCGGGGGGCAGATCACAACGTCCACCTCCCCCCCCTTCGCTTCCACATTCCCGGCTACCACGTCTATCATTTCAAGGTCAAGGATATCTCATCATACGTCAGGTTCTCAGTGTTATAGCCCCCGAGTGAAACAAGGAGGACATCACCTTTCCTGGTAACATTCATGCCGCCATCGATAGATAATCAATAATCAATACCGTTCTAC